AATATTTTTTATTTAATCATGTTCCATGTATCCGTTAGGCGAGGTATTGGTAGACATCTTTGGCATCGGCTGGAATTTCCAGATAGTCCTTCTGAATGAGGGACTGAATGCAGGTCTTGATGAGGGTGATTTCAACCTTGAACTTGGAACTGAGATCTTCGATCACTTGAGACACCAGCTGCTGGCGACTGAGTCGTCGCTTGGCTTTCATGATTCTCACGATGGTTGCGTCCACGACACACCTACGCCCTTGATCCACCTGTCTCTGAACCACCTTCTGATCTTCTTCCACAATTTTCTCCGCTGCCTTCAGTGGAACGTTGACGTTGAGCCGTACCTTCTTGTTGTTATAGGCGGTGTTGATGGCTACGGTGGATCTGGCGTTCAGGGCGGAGGTCCTTGATGTAAGGATTTTGGTCTTCAGCAAGATCTGAAGGACTTGAAGCAAGATGTCAATGTTGATGTTGGTAGTCTCCTGAAGCTGTTGCACCGTGATGGAAGTCCGGCTGTTGAACTGGGTCAGAATGGCAATCTGGAGAGTGGAGGTTTGGAAGGTGTAGCGCTTCGAGAAACAGTTCGTTACCACCTCCCCTCTGGACATATTGTACATCCACTGGATTTTTTTCCCCTTGTTATTTGCACAATAGAATGCGCTGAAGTTAGAAATACATTTTTCAAGCTCGTATGGCAATGTCAAATTGATATCTTCCTTAAAGGACGGCCAAGCCCAAGAATTCAAAATGTTAGCTTCGAAATTGATACTCAGGCGTTCGTTGGAGGCTTGTAGATATTGGTCGAAATTTTTATTGAGGTCATCTTTAACTTCAACATCACTGAACATCTGCTCGATGCTTTTCATCATTTCCGAGCTTACATGTTCCTTCAGTTTCATGAACATGCTCACTTCAGACTCTCTGCTCAGCGATTGGGTCATCAAAAGTCTTCGGGAGAGCATTTTTTTATAACTAGCTAGGAAATAATCTTTGTTTGTTAAGTAGTTTAGAACTACTATTGCTTTATCAATGCTTTGTTCATTATCTTTCACTTCTTCCGTTTTGTGACTTTTGCTTAGTAACTTATCATAATACTGTGATAGTAATTGCGCAGACCTATCTGGATATTTGGCGGTGATATAGTTCGTGTTGATAAAATCTCGGAATGCTTCGTTGGAAGCGACGTAGGAATCAACGTCGTTGTTAAAATCTAATTCTACAATGTTCTGATATTTTTCGTAGACTGTCAGGATGGTAGATATGTAGAGATTGGCGTTGGTCTCCACAATTTCTCCATGTTTCTGCAGCTGCTCGTGACCATCCTTCTGGAGAATCTCTTGGAACAAGGAACGAAAGTTATGTGGTACATTGGCAACTAACCTATACATGCGTGCCAGATCTTCATGCTTTTCTTCGGCAATACATTTTTCAAATTCGATGTAGAATTGTTTCAGTAGATCCTGCACGAACACAACCTTACAAAGGTCACTGAGAAGCGTCATAGTCGATGGATGAAAGCAAGTTCTGGCTCTAGAAATCTCTTTCTCCATGAACTCCTCCACCTGAACCATGTACTCAGCAAAGGTACCATTGCGGATAAAATCGTTCCTTATATTTATATATATCTCTTTGGTATCTTCGAGGAATTTGGTCTCAAATTTTTCCTTGTAGTTCCACGCCGAATCATAAGAGGATATTTCCGGATTATCCGCCAAAATACAAGCCTCTAAAACTGCATCAAATAATTCTTTGTTGTCGCTCGGATCCCCTCTCCGTTCTTTCTCAATGAGACCATTAAAGGTTTTAATAACCTTTTCACTCAGAGGGACGAAGCACAAATCTACCCAATTCTGAACACATAGCTGTAAGATGGAGGTCACGCCATAATTCGCGTTGCTTCGTTCTCTCTCTACCCATAACCTGTTTAACCTATGGCACGACACGTTTAGGATTCGACTGGCCTTCTTGTACATGTTCCATTCGTTAACATAGGCGTGGAGAAAGTTCTTGGACTTCAGACATTTCAAGGATTCAAGCCGAACGGCCAAGTGGGCTTTCAGAAATTCGTCTACGCGGGTATAGAACAGCTTGGAGGAATACCCGATATCGTCGCTGTTATTGAATTTTACAGCTTTGTTTGGCTTGGGGTTATCGATGCTGGTAAATATGCAAATGCTATTGGTCATTATCCCTAAATCCGCGGTTCTTGGCTTCTCACCACTAAAGAGCCTCGGTAAATATTGTTTAATTTTTCTCCAATGTTTTTCCATTATTTCGTGTTTTTTCTCAATTAAGAAACTATTTTTATAATTAACTCAGGTAACTGGAGAGTGTGTTCGAAATTATTAACTCGAAAAGATAATTCAGATTCCTGCGGAAATTAAATCGAAAAGTGTTGTATAAGATAATTCAATGTATGCAAATAAATATCAATAAATATCTATGAGAAAAAAATTCACAGATAATTTATTTATTTTGTATTTTTATTTTATAACATTTATTATCTACTAGACCAGGGGTCTCCAAACTACGGCCCGAGGGCCACATCCGGCCCGCAGACAGATTTTGTCCGGCCCGCGGAGACATACTTGAAAACTCCTTTTAGAGAACAAATATTTTTTATAGCAAATAAAATGTTTGTGATAAGTTGGATAAAGAAACACAGAATGGTAATGAGTAAAGACATGTATAATTTATGCAGTAAATTTAACTTCAGCATATAATAACTAACAAATTATTGAAATGAATCCAACTTACATTTTATACATTGTAAGTAATGAACAACACATACCTTATAACATGACATATGAAATGCTAATGAGATGTATGTAATTGAGATTTTCCACCGACAATAGTTTGTAGTTGTGGACTAATTTTACTTGTACCAATTATTAAAAGAGATTTAAGATGCTCGTCAGTTAATTTAGATCTGTATACATTTTTTGTGTACTTCATTTTGGAGAAGGTTTTCTCACACAAATAAGTAGTAGCAAAAACGGAAAACAGCCCACGAGCAAATTTATGCAAATTATCAAATTGTGTCAGTGGAAGACTCTTATAAAATTCCAACAAAGATGAGTTTTCATATTTGTTCTTAATTATATCACTGCACTGAAGATCAATCATTTCCATTTGAAATTCTGGGTCTAGGGTTTCAATGTCAGCATCAAAAGGATTCTGAAAAATCTTAATTTGATTCGCAATGGCATCAAAGTCCGAGAAACGAGTATCAAAATTTATCTTCGAAGCACTCAAAATTTCGATTGCAAAATCGATAGGAAACTCAGTCTCAGTAGTGTGGCTGAATATTTCACATGTTTTAAAATGTGAAAAACATTTACTTCGTAGTTGTGATTGAAACAGTATCAATTTCATCCGGAATGACTTGATATTAGTGTATAAATCAGGAAGATGCTGGTTTTCTCCTTGCAATCTCAAATTCAGTTCGTTCACATGTTTTGTCAAATCAACATAGAATGCTAACTTCCATAGCCATGCGTTGTTTTGTAATTCAGTAAGAGGGCGGTGCTTTTCATTCAAAAAAATTTCGATCACTGCTCGAAGTTCAAAAAAGCGCTGAAGGACTTTCCCACAACTAAGCCAGCGTACGGCAGTATGATAAGGTAAGTCTGTTTCTCCAATCTCTGCAATAAATTGTCGGAATTGTCGGTGATTCAGCCCAAAAGATCTGATGAAATTAACAGTTGATATGACTGGTTTCAGAACGTCAGACATATCCAAACATTTTCCGCACAAAGACTGTTGATGAACGATACAATGTAAGACTAATGGTTTTGTGAGCCGCCGTCATTTTCTACAGCCTTTGACACAAGAGCGACCACTCCTTTATCTTTCCCACTCATGTTTTTGCCTCCATCAGTTGTAATACATTTCAAGTTTTTCCATCGAAGGTTCTTTTTATTAATGGCCATTTCAACTCCTTTAAAAATATCGGTACCAGTAGTTGTGCCATGAATACTATAGATATCAAGAAGTTATTCGTGCACTTCATAGCTTTTATCTACTCCTCTAATATAAATCAACACCTGAGCAGTATCTGACACATCCGTTGACTCATCCAAGGCCAAAGAAAACCACTCAACATGTCCATTTTTGTTGAACAGTTGAGAGGATATATTTTCAGCGATGTTTTCTACCCTTCGAGCCACAGTGTTTGCTGACATACTGACAGTTTTTAATAAATTTACCTTTTCAGGGCACATTTCTTCGACTACTGCAATTATGCATTCCTTGATCATTTCTCCATCGGTGAATGGTTTTCCACGTTTTGCAATTTCAAGAGCCACACGAAAGCTGGCACGAGTTGCCGCCTCTTGTTCAGTTTTGACTTTTGTAAATAAAGATTGCTGCGATTTCAATCCGCGCTTCAAAGCTTCGAATTTTTCTGTCCGCACAATTCCTGTATATTTTGAGTAATTTTGAGAATGTTTTGTTTCATAATGACGTTTCATGTTATATTCTTTGAGAACGGCTATGCTTTCATTGCAAATCAAACATAGCGCCTTGTTACTGGACTCAATTACGAAATACTGAATGTTCCACTGATCTTTGAATTTTCTGCATTCACTATCAATTTTTCGCTTCTTTTCCATTCTGCTAAATCACACACAAAAGCAACAATTAATAATAACATTTAATAACAAATAAACATAACAATTAATACAGGAAAATTAATAATATGCAGTGTTGCCATCTTGGCCCTCGGAACTTACTGGAGTAATCAGTATGGCCCTAAGGCTGGAAAGACCCCATCAGTATGGCCCTAAGGCTGGAAAGTTTGGAGACCCCTGTACAAGACAAATGGCCCGGGCAACGCCCGGGTTTTACCCGAGTGCGAATATATTTTAAAAACGTTTTAATTTAAATACTCTTCGTTACAATTATAAATTGGCGCCATGGATTTCATTCTTGTGAAACGTCCCGTTCCAAACTGTGTGTTTTTAAAATGTTTTAACTATATATAATATAACGGTATAAAGAAATAATGAGCCTATAGCCTAGTGGTCATGGCATCTGCCCGGTCACACAGACAGAATAAGGCAATTATATAAGTAGACTGCCCGGTAAGCGGAAGGTCGTGGGTTCGATTCCCATCCCTTGACACTTTTTTTATTTTATCCATTCTGACCAAAATCTATCCGTGAACTTCACACAGTGAACTTCACACAGGCAGAATAAGGCAATTATATAAGTAGATCTTCATCTTGTCTACACCTTGTATACATCTTGCTTCCTAGGGTTGCCTAGAGTGGCCGCTATAGACAGGGTGGTCTGTATAGACAGGTGTATGTATCACACTGCTGATAACAGGGTTGCCTAGAGTGGCCGCTATAGACAGGGTGGTCTGTATAGACAGGTGGATGTATCACACAGCTGATAACAGGGTTGTCTAGAGTGGCCGCTATAGACAGAGTGGTCTGTATAGACAGGTGGATGTAACACACTGCTGATAACAGGGTTGTCTAGAGTGGTCGCTATAGACAGGGTGGTCTGTATAGACAGGTGTATGTATCACACTGCTGATAACAGGGTTGCCTAAAGTGACCGCTATAGACAGGGTGGTCTGTATAGACAGGTGGATGTATCACACAGCTGATAACAGGGTTGCCCAGAGTGGTCGCTATAGACAGGGTGGTCTGTATAGACAGGTGTATGTATCACACAGCTGATAACAGGGTTGTCTAGAGTGGCCGCTATAGACAGAGTGGTCTGTATAGACAGGTGGATGTAACACACTGCTGATAACAGGGTTGTCTAGAGTGGTCGCTATAGACAGGGTGGTCTGTATAGACAGGTGTATGTATCACACTGCTGATAACAGGGTTGCCTAAAGTGACCGCTATAGACAGGGTGGTCTGTATAGACAGGTGTATGTATCACACAGCTGATAACAGGGTTGTCTAGAGTGGTCGCTATAGACAGGGTGGCCTGTATAGACAGGTGTATGCATCACACAGCTGATAACAGGGTTGTCTAGATTGGCCGCTATAGACAGAGTGGTCTGTATAGACAGGTGGATGTAACACACTGCTGATAACAGGGTTGTCTAGAGTGGTCGCTATAGACAGGGTGGTCTGTATAGACAGGTGTATGTATCACACTGCTGATAACAGGGTTGCCTAAAGTGACCGCTATAGACAGGGTGGTCTGTATAGACAGGTGGATGTAGCACACTGCTGATAACAGGGGTGTCTAGAGTGGCGGCTATAGACAGGGTGGTCTGTATAGACAGGTGGATGTAACACACTGCTGATAACAGGGTTGTCTAGAATGGCCGCTATAGACAGGTGTATGTATCACACAGCTGATAACAGGGTTGTCTAGAGGGGGGCAGGGAGGTCACGTGTTCGCCGGCAGCCAATGGGCGCGCATTCTATCCGTGAACTTCAGACAGTGAACTTCAGACAGACAGAGAATAAGGCAATTATATAATAATCTACATATATAAAAATGAATGTATGTGTGTGTGTGTGTCCTTTATGCTTGACCAAACCACTCATTGGAACGCCATGAAACTTTGGGAAGTTATTTAGTATAGTACTGGGAAGGTTTCTAGCAAATAAAATTTTTGAAATAACTTTTCGCTTTAAAATAATCAAGATAAATATTCTAATTTATCTGTTATAATTCAACAATCTGCTCTAAATATTATCATGATGATACGATGATTTTGTAATGTATAAAATTAGGAAAGACAAAATTCAGGATGACACGACAATTTATTTGAGACAAGAATAACGATACAATTCCAAGGCAAGAAACTATTCCTTTAACTTCCAATTACCGAGGGACCCAATTAATATTGATTTTATTCAACTTATCGAGTATTTTTCAAGGGACCGGGAAAAAAATGTTCACTTTATCGAGAGATTCGTTAGACAAACCTTTACTTGGGTAAAACCCGGGCGAAGCCGGGTACATCCATACAAGAATAATGATACAATTCCAAGGCAAGATACTATTCCTTTAACTTCCAATTACCGAGGGAACCAATTAATATTGATTTTAATCAACTTATCGAGTATTTTTCAAGGGACCGGGAAAAAATGTTCACTTTATCGAGAGATTCGTTAGACAAACCTTTACTCGGGTAAAACCCGGGCGAAGCCGGGTACATCCGCTAGTTTGTATATATATATATATGTAAATAGACAAAAGAATTGCTATAAATTTATTAAATAAAAACAAACGATAGCATTGCGTGTAAAGGTGTGGAAGGATCGATAAGATCCGAAAGCTAGCATAATAAATTTCATGTATAAAGAGACGCAATGCTATCGTTTGTTTTTATTTAATATATATATGTATTATATTATTTTATTTATTGATAGTTCAATGTCTTCAATGTTTTATTTGTGTGATATCATTTTTAAAAAATATTTTCCCATTTTCACTTATATTTTATTTCGAATTTCACAATTTTACATTGAAATTTTTTAAAAATTTTATTTCAACCAACTTTTCAAACATTTTTTACGCTTTGTGTTTTCAGAAAAAAAATTAGTTCAACCTTTCTTTTATATATATATTGTTATTTTTATTTATTTTTATACGAAAAATATTTTTACAAATAGTACAAATAATTTTTAAATATAAAAATAGGCTTTATTGTTAATTTTCAAAATATTCACACCCATATTTTACAAAAATTATTTTGTTCATAATATAAATATATTTTTCAAATTTTTCTCCCCATTGAATATAACAAAATATTTTAAAAACTTAATGCTGTTGACGTTATGTGGCGCTGAGTTTGTTGTTGACACACTTTAAAATGTTATAACACCTTAATAAAGGTTGGCGTTCAGCCAGCTGAAATATTGGTAAAATAAATAATTTTTTGATCCAATATATGCCTTTTTAATTAAATATATATATATTTAAAGTAAAATATAAATTAGATCTGATCTCACGTGCTTGAAATAAATTCTTGTGAATGCGCTTTCGGTATTTAGGGAGGTGTCTTATTTATCCAATATTATATTTGGAATGGTCGGCGTTCTGCACTCCAAGGACTATAAATTTGAATTGAGAAAAATAAAATTCGGGGAAAATTTATTTCATTTCGAGTTTTTTTTTTTTTGCAACGGGAAAATACCTTTGTGCACAATATCAAAATGATTTTTCTACAAAATAAAAAAAAATATATATAAATAAATATTTTGAAAATAGAGCAATCCATAGATAAATCTTTAAAAATATATATATATATATTTTAAAATATTAAAATCATTTTGATATTGTACACAAAAGTATTCGCCCGTTTAAGAGGCAAAACCCTCGAAATAAAAGAAACTTTTTTCCCGAATTCTATTTTTCCCTATGCAAATAATTCCTGAGTAACTCACATATTTGCATATTTACCGATTGTCTGTCGGCTGGTTTTATTTTCTGCATATAATCCTATTTAGACTAGAAAGATAAGTATAACCCAGGGAGCGCAGAACGCCAACTACCCGGGGAGTGTCACCAGTATGGAGTAGTGCTAAGTATTTTTACTCGCGTCCTGTTTTGATTACTGAGTTGAACCAGTTGACCAGGATGTTCCATGCTGAGTCTGGCCATAGATGTAGGATTGAGGTGGGTCAGTCCAAGCAGCTGTTTGTATCCTATGTCTCAGGAATGCTAAACAGCTGAAGAAGAGATGATCTGTGGCACTTCTGAACAGTGAATGCAGGAAGGATCAGTTTCGGGATGCTGACGTGTAATGTCTTCCAGTATTTGGACTATATAGACGCGATCCTTGTATATTCCACAAAATTATAGAAACGGTAATTAGAAAAATTGGTGAAGACGTATTATTACAGTAGAACTTGGATAATTCGAACTTCTTTAATTCGAATATTTATCTTGGTCCCTAGAATTTCCTATATAAATAGTGTTAAAAAATCGTGGTTAATTCGAATTATGTCTTGGATAATTCTAACTTTTACGAGTTAAAATAAGGACCTGATGCCGGTTCAAGGCGTGAAATTTTGCGAAATGACGTTGTAATATTGTAACAACGAATTTGTTATTTTATTATTATTAATTATTTTCTTAACAGAGTTATCAATTTTTATGTTTATATTTTGCTACTCTGTAAGCTTCCCTCATTGCTTATCTTTTATTTTATCAATTATAGTTTGTCCTTGCCTTAAATAAATTGCTGTGTCACGCCGAAGTTTGTCTTTCCTAATTTTCCACGTGGCAATATCTTGCCGCAAGAGAAGTACTATATATAATAAATTTATTTTTATTGGATTTTTGAGACTCCTTATTTATCAAGAAGGCTGAAAGGAGCGAATATGTCGGCGCTTCGAACATACAAAACTTTGACGTTGGCTGAAAAAATAGCGGCGATTAAAGAAGTAGAGATGGGGATGAAAAAAAAAATCCGATATTGCTAAGGACTTTGGGATTCCTCGAAACACGTTGTCGACGTACTTAAAAAATAAAGAAAAAATTCTCAGGAGTGAAAGTGAGTGTGTTAAAGGCCGAAAAAGGTTAAGGGAGCCGGGAAATCCTGATTTGGACAAATGTGTTTTAAAATGGTTCAAGCAAGCAAGAGATAAGAAGATTCCCGTGAGTGGTCACCTTATAAGTGGCAAAGCTGAACAATTTGCTACTGAAATGGGGAAAACCGATTTTAAGGCGAGTTCTGGGTGGCTAGATGGCTTCAAAGAACGCAACAAAATTTCGTTCAAAAGAGCTGGTTTTAAAAAAGCTGGTTTCGTAAAAAAGGAGGAGGATGAAGAAAATGCAGATGATATTATAGCGGAAACGATGCCTTCAGTTGACGGCTGGGAGGACGTCATTTCTAATCCTACCATCTCGTATGACGATTTCTTAAAGTGGATGACGATGTTGCAGTATGTGGTGAGATAACCGACGCAGATATCATCGCTGAAGTGCTCAACCACAACATTGAAAAACAAGACGGCGACGAGGCATCGGGTGATGAAGACGAGTCATCAGTTGCCGGGGAAATGAACGTTCCAAGTGCGGCCGAAGCAACGAACTATATCATGCAACTTAGTCCCTCTATTTTCCACTCGTTGAATATGTTAGAATCCTTTGTCCTTACTGAAAGACTTAATTCTAGAAAACAGGCTAAGATTTCTGA